ACACATACATACATATATATACACACACATACATATACATATACACATAAACACACACATCCACACACACCTCATATACACATGCATACATATACATACCCATACATAAATATATATAAAAAAAAAGATTAACAATTTAAACTTAAAGTAATACTGATAATAAAATGAAAAACTGCTTCTTAGCTTAAATTTAGTTGGATGGTGGTACGGTATTTAAGATTTTAGTCCTGAAATTCCATAAGTCAGGCAGGTATTTTTTGCAATTGTATCTACAATTTCGCCAATTTTCTCAGATCATCAAGTAAAATATGGTGTTTGTACTCAATCCAAATTCGAAATCCTCCCAGAATGTTTGATAGTCCCAAAATAGTAGGTCACTTTTAAGATTATGAAAATGTTTATCTCTAATTAAACTAAGTCTATTACAATGGAAAAGGAAGTGATCAGTATCTTCAATTATATCATGCTTACAAAGTTTACAAAAACCTGAATTATCAGTTTTGGACCATTTACATTTCGTACCTTCAAGATCGAGAGTGTTCGTTCTTGTTTTAAATTTTAAACTGACAGATTCAAAGTTGGTCATATCAAAAATATATTTTTCTACATCTGGTTTTGATTTATATTTTAAATAATCAACTAAGCCAGATTTTGATTTAGTCCTGTCAAACCATCTTTTAGCATTTTTTAATGAGCTTTGTAAAAAGATTTAAGCCAAGTATTACCAATATCCACATTAAAATGATCAATTATATCAAATTTACGCAATAACTCTTGAATATGGTTAATCCAAATCCACTTGACATTATTTTTAACTTCAATTAGTGCTTTACATAGCAATTTTTGCCATCTACTTTCATCCAAATTTTTTATTTGATTAAAGTAACTCACTCTAAATTTATTTTGTATGTGTTCGACAGACTCCCAACCTAGATCGCCAAGAAGAGCTTCTTTTGCCACATTCCTTGGTGCTTTGAGAATAATTCTCGCCATTCTGTATTGTAGGTTTTCTATTTTTTCAATAGAACTATTAGAATTACATAACCATATGGAGCTTGCAAAGTTTATGGTAGGAAGCCCTATGATTTTCCATAAAAGATCTCCGTAGTATACTCTGTTAGTAAATTACTATCAATATTCTGAAAGGTCATTGCCCTCCAATCTAAGCATGTTGTTTTTCAATACTACATTCATCCTACAACATTCCTCCATCATTTCATTAATAATAGTAATTGATAAATTACAATGGCTCATGTCAATATGGATCAGGTGTGGAGAGACCTTCAAAAGTTGAGCTAATGTTCTTCCTCTGATTGAAGATAGGTTAATCCTACTCATGTCTATCCTTGTCCAATTCAATGTCTCATTCTCACCTATTGAGTCAACCAGCTTTTCAAGATGATCAGATGTAAATGAATAATCACTCCATTTTAAGGAATTATGAGGCTTGTTATGCCTTGGTAAGTAATTATCTAAGGAATGATGAGGCCCACCAATCACCCTAATTAACTCAGCAAGTGATTTACTATCAATATCTGAAAGGTCATTGCCCTCCAATCTAAGCATGTTGTCTTTCAATACTACATTCATCCTACAACATTCCTCCATCATTTCATTAATACTACTACCTGATAAATTACATTCACTTATGTCAATACGGATCAGGTGTGGAGAGACCTTCAAAAGTTGAGCTAATGTTCTTCCTCTGATTGAAGATAGGTTAATCCTACTCATGTCTATCCCATCCCAATTCAATGTCTCATTCTCACTTATTGAGTCAACCAGCTTTTCAAGATGATCAGATGTAAGTGAATAATTACTCCATTTTAAGGTATTATGAGGCTTGTTATGCCTTAGTAAGTAATTATCTAAGGTATCATGAGGCTCACCAATCACCCTAATTAACTCAGCAAGTGATTTACTATCAATATCTGAAAGGTCATTGCCCTCCAATCTAAGCATGTTGTCTTTCAATACTACATTCATCCTACAACATTCCTCCATCATTTCATTAATAATACTAAATGATAAATTACAATGGCTCATGTCAATATGGATCAGTCGTGGAGAGACCTTCAAAAGATGAGCTAATATTCTTGATCTGACTGAAGAGAGGTTAATCCTACTCATGTCTATCCTTGTCCAACTCAATGTCTCATTCTCACCTATTGAGTCAACCAGCTTTTCAAGATGATCAGATGTAAATGAATAATCACTCCATTTTAAGCTATTATGAGGCTTGTAATGCCTTGGTAAGTAATTATCTAAGGAATGATGAGGCCCACCAATCACCCTAATTAACTCAGCAAGTGATTTACTATCAATATCTGAAAGGTCATTGCCCTCCAATCTAAGCATGTTGTTTTTCAATACTACATTCATCCTACAACATTCCTCCATCATTTCATTAATAATACTAAATGATAAATTACAATGGCTCATGTCAATATGGATCAGGCGTGGAGAGACCTTCAAAAGCTGAGCAAATGTTCTTGCTCTGATTGAAGAGAGGTTAATCCTACTCATGTCTATCCTTGTCCAACTCAATGTCTTATTCTTACCTATTGAGTCAACCATCTTTTCAAGATGATCAGATGTAAGTGAATAATCACTCCATTTTAAGGTATTATGAGGCTTGTTATGCTCTAGTAAGTAATCATCTAAGGTATGATGAGGCTCATCAATCACCCTAATTAACTCAGCAAGTGAGTGACTACCAATATCTGAAAGGTCATTGTCCTCCAATTTAAGCATGTTGTCTTTCAATACTACATTCATCCTACAACATTCCTCCATCATCTCATTAATACTACTACCTGATAAATTACATTCCCTCATGTCAATACGGATTAGGTGTGGAGAGACCTTTAAAAGTTGAGCTAATGTTCTTCCTCTGACTGAAGAGAGGTTAATCCTACTCATGTCTATCCTTGTCCAACTCAATGTTTTATTCTTACCTATTGAGTCAACCAGCTTTTCAAGATGATCAGATGTAAGTGAATAATCACTCCATTTTAAGGTATTATGAGGCTTGTAATGCCTTGGTAAGTAATTATCGAAGGTAGGCTCACCAATCACCCTAATTAACTCAGCAAGTGATTTACTATCAATATCTGAAAGGTCATTGCCCTCCAATTTAAGCATGTTGTCTTTCAATACTACATTCATTCTACAACATTCCTCCATCATTTCATTAATAATACTACCTGATAAATTACAATGGCTCATGTCAATATGGATCAGGTGTGGAGAGACCTTTAAAAGTTGAGCTAACGTTCTTGCTCTGATTGAAGAGAGGTTAATCCTACTCATGTCTATCCCATCCCAATTCAATGTCTCATTCTCACCTATTGAGTCAACCAGCTTTTCAAGATGATCAGATGTAAGTGAATAATCACTCCATTTTAAGGTATTATGAGGCTTGTTATGCCTTGGTAAGTAATTATCGAAGGTAGGCTCACCCATCACCCTAATTAACTCAGCAAGTGACTTACTATCAATATCTGAAAGGTCATTGCCCTCCAATTTAAGCATGTTGTCTTTCAATACTACATTCATTCTACAACATTCCTCCATCATTTCATTAATAATACTAAATGATAAATTACATTCACTCATGTCAATATGGATCAGGTGTGGAGAGACCTTCAAAAGTTGAGCTAATGTTCTTCCTCTGACTGAAGATAGGTTAATCCTACTAATGTCTATCCCATCCCAATTCAATGTCTCATTCTCACCTATTGAGTCAACCAGCTTTCCAAGATGATCAGATGTAAGTGAATAATCACTCCATTTTAAGGTATTATGAGGCTTGTTATGCCCTTGTAAGTAATCATCTACAGTACGATGAGGCCTACCAATCACCCTAATTAACTCAGCAAGTGATTTACTATCAATATCTGAAAGGTCATTGCCCTCCAATCTAAGCATGTTGTTTTTCAATACTACATTCATCCTACAACATTCCTCCATCATTTCATTAATAATACTAAATGATAAATTACAATGGCTCATGTCAATATGGATCAGGCGTGGAGAGACCTTCAAAAGCTGAGCTAATATTCTTGCTCTGACTGAAGAGAGGTTAATCCTACTCATGTCTATCCTTGTCCAACTCAATGTCTCATTCTCACCTATTGAGTCAACCAGCTTTTCAAGATGATCAGATGTAAGTGAATAATCACTCCATTTTAAGGTATTATGAGGCTTGTTATGCCTTGGTAAGTAATTATCTAAGATATGAGGCTCACCAATCACCCTAATTAACTCAGCAAGTGATTTACTATCAATATCTGAAAGGTCATTGTCCTCCAATCTAAGCATGTTGTCTTTCAATACTACATTCATTCTACAACATTCCTCCATCATTTCATTAATACTACTACCTGATAAATTACATTCACTCATGTCAATACGGATCAGGTGTGGAGAGACCTTCAAAAGCTGAGCTAATGTTCTTCCTCTGATTGAAGATAGGTTAATCCTACTCATGTCTATCCCATCCCAATTCAATGTCTCATTCTCACCTATTGAGTCAACCAGCTTTTCAAGATGATCAGATGTAAGTGAATAATCACTCCATTTTAAGGTATTATGAGGCTTGTTATGCCTTGGAAAGTAATTATCTAAGGTATCACGAGGCTCACCAATCACCCTAATTAACTCAGCAAGTGATTTACTATCAATATCTGAAAGGTCATTGCCCTCCAATCTAAGCATGTTGTTTTTCAATACTACATTCATCCTATAACATTCCTCCATCATTTCATTAATAATACTAAATGATAAATTACAGCGGCTCATGTCAATATGGATCAGGTGTGGAGAGACCTTCAAAAGCTGAGCTAACGTTCTTGCTCTGATTGAAGAGAGGTTAATCCTACTCATGTCTACCCTTGTCCAACTCAATGTCTTATTCTTACCTATTGAGTCAACCAGCTTTTCAAGATGATCAGATGTAAGTGAATAATCACTCCATTTTAAGGTATTATGAGGCTTGTTATGCTCTAGTAAGTAATCATCTAAGGTATGATGAGGCTCATCAATCACCCTAATTAACTCAGCAAGTGATTTACTACCAATATTTGAAAGGTCATTGCCCTCCAATTCAAGCATGTTGTCTTTCAATACTACATTCATTCTACAACATTCCTCCATCATCTCATTAATAATACTACCTGATAAATTACATTCCCTCATGTCAATATGGATCAGGTGTGGAGAGACCTTCAAAAGTTGAGCTAATGTTCTTCCTCTGATTGAAAATAGGTTAATCCTACTCATGTCTATCCTTGTCCAACTCAATGTCTTATTCTTACCTATTGAGTCAACCATCTTTTCAAGATGATCAGATGTAAGTGAATAATCACTCCATTTTAAGGTATTATGAGGCTTGTTATGCCTTGGTAAGTAATTATCGAAGGTAGTCTCACCAATCACCCTAATTAACTCAGCAAGTGATTTACTATCAATATCTGAAAGGTCATTGCCCTCCAATCTAAGCATGTTGTCTTTCAATACTACATTCATTCTACAACATTCCTCCATCATTTCATTAATAATACTACCTGATAAATTACATTCACTCATGTCAATATTGATCAGGTGTGGAGAGACCTTCAAAAGTTGAACTAATGTTCTTCCTCTGACTGAAGATAGGTTAATCCTACTAATGTCTATCCCATCCAAATTCAATGTCTCATTCTCACCTATTGAGTCAACCAGCTTTTCAAGATGATCAGATGTAAGTGAATAATCACTCCATTTTAAGGTATTATGAGGCTTGTTATGCCCTAGTAAGTAATCATCTAATATATGATGAGGCCTACCAATCACCCTAATTAACTCAGCAAGTGATTTACTATCAATATCTGAAAGGTCATTGCCCTCCAATCTAAGCATGTTGTCTTTCAATACTACAATCATTCTACAACATTCCTCCATCATTTCATTAATAATACTAAATGATAAATTACAATGGCTCATGTCAATATGGATCAGATGTGGAGAGACCTTCAAAAGCTGAGCTAATGTTCTTCCTCTGATTAAAGAGAGGTTAACCTTACTCATGTCTATCCTTGTCCAATTCAATGTCTCATTCTCACCTATTGAGTCAACCAGCTTTTCAAGATGATCAGATGTAAGTGAATAATCCCTCCATTTTAAGGTATTACGAGGCTTGATACACCTTAGTAAGTAATTATCAAAGGTATGATGAGGCCTACGAATCACCCTAATTAACTCAGCAAGTGATTTACTATCAATATCTGAAAGGTCATTGCCCTCCAATCTAAGCATGTTGTTTTTCAATACTACATTCATCCTACAACATTCCTCCATCATTTCATTAATAATACTAAATGATAAATTACAATGGCTCATGTCAATATGGATCAGATGTGGAGAGACCTTCAAAAGTTGAGCTAATGTTCTTCCTCTGATTAAAGATAGGTTAATCCTACTCATGTCTATCCCATCCCAATTAAGTGTCTCATTCTCACCTATTGAGTTAACCAGCTTTTCAAGATGATCAGATGTAAGTGAATAATCCCTCCATTTTAAGGTATTATGAGGCTTGTTATGCCTTAGTAAGTAATTATCAAAGGTATCACGAGGCCCACCAATCACCCTAATTAACTCAGCAAATGATTTACTATCAATATCTGAAAGGTCATTGCCCATCAATCTAAGCATGTTGTCTTTCAATACTACATTCATCCTACAACATTCCTCTATCACTTCATTAATAATACTACCTGATAAATTACAATAGCTCATGTCAATATGTATCAGGTGTGGAGAGACCTTAGAAAGGTGACCTAATGTTGTTCTGCTGACTGAAGCCAAGTCAATACCTTGTATATCAAGACATATTAATTTTAACTTTACATCAGCCTTGTTTAACTCATTGATAACCAAACTGAATTCAGATGCTGTACACCAATCTTTAATATGCAATTCAGATAGGTTATATGCATGTTTTAGGAAATGAATAAAAAATGATGAACTACAATTAAAGTTTAAGTTGATAGAAGTGAGATTATATGTTAAATGTAGGTTTTTCATCTCAGCTGATAGAATATTGATTTCTTTATCCTCCCATTTCGAAATATATCTGAAAAAATGTTTGGTTTTATATACCTTTGGTAGTACAACTGTGTTGTGTACAATATTTCTGCAAGAATTTTGTAAAGATTCTTCATTGGATGTATTTATCACTGGAAATACTTTCTTTACATCATAGTCTGTAAGGTATTTATATTTTTTCATAAGTGTAAATAAATGCACATTTGATGTGTCTTCATAATCAAGCACACTTCTAACAGATTGGCGCAATTGCTCACAGCATGCTTTCATTTCAATGGGCATGTGTTTATCCAATTCCTGTATTACATGGTCTTCATGATCCTTCTTTACATACTCCAAACATTGCGCTATAGAGTAAAAATTTGAGGCCCTGATTATCATCCAATGTTTAAACAATAGACAAGCATCATCACCAAGGAATCCTATTGTAAATACTCTTGTCATTTGTAAATACTTATTACATCTTATCACCTCATATTCTTCAGCTTTCAAGCTCCCTTTTTGGATTTGTTCAAACAGGTAAAATCCTGCTAGTGACTCTGAAATTAATTTATGTGGGGTAGTGTAAATCTCTCTTACATCACCTGGTTGAACAGGGCTCTCTTTATAAACAAATCCAAGTTCGAGTGCTAAATGTACCATATGTTTATCATTTGCTTTGCTCAGCAAAATACATTTGTCAATGGGCAGTTTATTTTTCTTTAAACCTTCATATATAATTTCTCCTAATATTTGCATGGCATGTCTGTATTTCTCAGGAATACTCTCAAACTGGGAAATGGAAGTTTCCCTGTCTCCCCTGTTTTGATATTGATTTAAATTGGAACAAAATAATTCCTTGAAAAGATCTGACAAATCTGTAGGAAGACATTCCTTATTTTCCCATATGGTACAAATATTAAGCAATAACAGTGGAGATGAGCATAATTCAAATGCTTTTTTGTGAGTACCACTAAACGATAGATCCTCATCCTCAGAATAATAATCATCATAATAATCATCATCATCATTATAATTATACCATGGCAAAGAATCTTTACTTTTAAATTTGAAATTTAAAGAACTACGAATATCACCATAATAATTATCATTATCAAGTCCAAACTCCCTAATTAGTGAGTCACCAATTTCAGCTTTACCAATTGAATCAAAATACTTATGTATGTATTCCTTTATGTTTCTTGGATTGAATCCCATTACTTTAATATGTATATCACACCATTTGAAAAATTTACCTATGTTGTCAGGTCGGGATGACATCAACACTGTGCATTCACCCAATTCAGTTCTTTTGAATAGATCTATTGGATTTTTAGCACCTTTTTCTAACTCATCATATCCATCTAACAAAATCACAATTTCATCAGCATGGGTGACCAGAAAATCTTTAACAGAATTGGGTGGCAATTTGTTCTTTGATATTATTGTTTGCCAATCAATTTCCTTCATAATTATGTCTACAAACATTTCACCTGCTTTTAGGTCTCTAATATTTATCAGAAACAATAATTTATTAGCAAAAGCATTATCTACATCATCAGTAGCCCACTTATAAGCAATATACCTAAGGAGTGTAGTCTTACCCATTCCTCCTTTACCTGTTATTAATACCTTACAAGAATCTGTTGACTTAATAACACCTAATACCTCTTTTAAAGATGTGGGACTACCTTTCTTTTGTTTAGATGTTGACTTGCTTTCTGATTTTTTGTCTTCTTTCTGAGACTGCATTAAGATGAGTTCAGTGAATACTTCTGCAATGTCTAATTCATGATCTTCGTGCCAGATTGTTGGTGTCATTTGGTTCACATTCTGATACAATTGCTTCTGCCTTTTATTCACTGAGTCTCTAATAATTAAATCTGTAATAAAATCAAACAAGAATACATTTCTTCTATCATGTGTATTTGTTGTAGGACTATTTGAATTGCTAATAACCCAAACACAATGGATGTTAATTTACTGAGAGCCAACAATCATCAATGGGACTGTTAGTAGTATTACATATTATATTTTAAGGAAATTTATCAATACATTTCATTTTGTTGGCTAGCAATTAGTTTAGAAGATTAGGAAAACATTGTAGTTTGAAATTTCAAAGCTCTTAATTAGAGTTGATTGCCTTAAGAAGCATAGGAAATTGTCACTGGCAATATTAGTAGGAGAGGGCACATCAATCAAGGCTCTGTATTACAATGTTGGATACAGTAGTAATAATATTTTTTTGGAAACTTCTACAGCACTGGATTCCACGATTCAGTGTTCATGGCACTTTTGCTATCGAGGCTTGGACATGAGCAGAGAAAAAAGAAACAGAAAACAAGTAGTTGAGTAGGCAGGGTTGTCAAGCCCGTATTCAGTAGGTGAATGGTTGGAAATCAGCCATTCTGATTGCAATTATTTAAAAAAAAAAAATTAATTTGTAAGGTTTTGATGTGAAATCACCTGGTATAACTCTTGTTACATAAAATTGATGGCAACTACTCATTTTGAACTACATCCAGTAATCTTGTTCCTCCCCCAATACTCTATCCTATAATGCTTTCAACAACAAATAGAGGGGATGATCATAGTTATCACTGCCATTAAAAGTATATGTGTAATAAATTCTATCAACTAATTATAATTGGTTAGATGTTGTGAAATGATTACTGAATAAAGAGGCAAGACTTAATATCCACAAAGCATAAGTTGCGGGCTAAATTGACTAGAAGAAAACTCCAGCAAAGAATATCGTAAACAACTGTAAATCTTCTGCTATGAGGCGCTAATTAGCATTAGTAAATATACAGTAAAAAGGATTACATCCAAAAAATTAGAAATTTTGGAAGTCTTAATTTGTGTAATCTTAATATTATATTAGAATATGAAATGAAATAGCTTCAAACAGAGCATCCACAGCTGTTTTAAGTTTCTCTAACTAATCTTTTCTAGATTCATAATTAAACACTAGCTGTCTGCATTCTTTAATGCCTAATTATACAATCGATCAATCTTCGGCACATCTGAACAATCTGGTACCACAATAACTTCTACAGACCTAAGCATTGTTGAGGTATGACTGGTATTTTTGCCCAAAAACATGATTTTAGGTAAAATCTTGATAAACATTGGGTTTCATGCAAAAACTTGTATTAGAGCGAATATAAATATATGTGTTATGGACACTTTAACACAAACATGATTTCAATAGACTAAAGTATTACAGAGATATGGCAATTTCATGTTTTTTATTAAAAAAGTTAACAGTGGTCAAATCAGATTTCAAGTAACTTTCATATCCCCCACATAGTGTTCTACCACCATACCAAAGGAAAAATTTGTATCCACTACTGTAACATCATTTGGATTTGAGACTGGATTAGTACAATGCAAAGGCTTCTTGCCGTTGAGAGGGAGTATAAAGTAGATTGTGTTTGGAGAGGATTGTCTCTTGTTTAATCTATCGTCAAGTGTTTGGCAAACTGGGATTGTAGTGAAAAAGTGGAATAAATTGACGTTAAAATCCAAAATTGCAGTGGTCACAATATATATTCTGCCATTTTACTACAACTCTAAGCAAGATTTCTATTGGGTGGATGGGTGCAAATTTGTAGAGAGTGGACCAAAATGGCTCAAGGGGGTGTTTAGGCAGGGTACCCTGCTGAGATTGAAGTGGCGGAGCTCAGGCTTATTTAATAAATTTCTGAAGATATAATGGTTTTCAGTGGCGGATCTAGGCAGTTGAAAAGGGGCCAGGGACAATACCACCTCAGGGAAGAAAATTTATGATTATGGCACCATCAAATGGCTGGAAATTGAACTCTCATACGATTTGAATGTCAATTTCTTTTTTTCCCATTTTTTTATTTTCAAAAATTGAGGGACTAGATTAAATTGGGCTGCTTGAATCCCCACTGTTAGTGGCACATCTAGGAATTTGATATAGAGGGGTTATTAGAAGGACTTTTTACAGATTGAGAGTCCACAAAACTTCAGCCCCACCATGGTTGGGGCTGAGTTAAGAAAATTTATGATTATAGCACCTCTGGATGGCTGGAATATGGCACTCTCAGACTAGGATTTGAATATAAATTTCTTTTTAAAAATAATTTTGACAAATTAGGGGGAGGGTTGACTTTTTTTTACCCTGGAAAATGTGGACCTTTGGTAATTTGGGGAAGGGGAAATTGCGTGGTGCGTGTACACCCGTCACACTAACTTATTCACAATTTGCTTTATAGAATTTTATAGAATTCCTTTCTCTCAACAACCATCAAGTCACAGATGTAATAGGATTTATAATTAAAGTAATTTTTTGCAACATCTATCGCACTACTGCACCTACATAATTCATTGCACAACCAATGCCATTTTCTGTACTTTTATTTCGAACAGTGTAATAGGAGGTTTGCCATCTCAAAACCAGCGTTAAATCTGAGTATTCAGCATTAGAATGTGACTAATATTTATAGTACTCACAATCGTAATTCTTGTTTTGTGACCACATATTTTAATCTCCATAGCTACTGTAAACCATTGCAATTTTATTATAACATGGCAATGAATACTAAAATTGTTAAGTATGGTAAGGGGTGCACATACGCAGCAAAAGTTTATCAAAATTTAAATGCAAAATTCAATGTCTAATTTGTCAAAACATAGGTCTAATTTGTCAAAATAGAGGTCTAGTTTCCGAAAATTAAGTTCTGATTTTTCAAAACGTATTTCAAATTTTCCAAAAAGTAGTTCTAATTTATGTAAAATATAATTCAAATTTCAAAACATACATCTGACTTGACCAAATGCCCTCTTCAAATTCTTCTCCCAACATAAATCAAAAACCACCCAAGCATGACTGACTTGATTTACATTAAACAACAACTAGACATGTGAAATGTAAATCAAAACTAGCCAGCCAAGCACAGACCCGTAGCCAGGGGGGGTTTTTATGGTTCGGGCGAACCCCCCTTTTCTAGCGATCCCCCTCAAATTTTTGAATGAGTCCCACTCGGACGGAATGTCTGTTTTTAACTTACCCAGCATTAAATCAAAATTTAGCACCTAATTCATTATTTAGTGACCCGTTTTTAAATTCTAGCCTGCGATACAAGCCTTCATTCATAGAATATCTCAGCTTCAGAAGTTTGGTGATTTAAATTGAACGCAACTCCGGCAAACCATGAATTTACGATGGCTTACATATAAGGATGGCAAACATCGATAAAAACCCGGCTCCCGTCTCAACTTTGACTGGCCTTTGCCTGAATGTTTGTAAGAATGTACCAACCGGTAACGAAACTGGTCACTGTCTACCTAGAGTAAATGGAGCCACTAAACAAAGCTAAAGTTTTGCGACTTAATCCACCAAATGCAGCTAAAGTTTTGCGACTTAATCACCTGATTCTGGACTGTGTAGTTAGTAAATTCCATAGACATACTGTCCACAGCGCAGACTAACCTATTTGCTGATGGAGCATTTTTGGGAAATTTACTCCTTTTTTCCATCCCAAACAAAATATTATTATTTTTTGTTGTTAAGTCAACATGGTCCATCTCAGTCATGATAGCCATTCACAAAATTAGGAAGGTTGTTTTCAACAGCAGACACACACACAACAGAACGGAGTGCGTCAAAACGAGTGTTTGTTAATTATTAGTAAAAGAATTACGAAACGTCGTAGAATAACTGACTTTTTTCGTCCACTGTGGCAAAGAAGAAAACGACAGATAGTCCTCTTAAGGTGGGTTATTTTCACAAAAACGAGATGCAATAATGAAAAAAAAAATGATTATTATTGTTCATTTTCAATTTTTTCCTATTCTTCTTTCTTCCTATGCTTCTTCCATATTTTCGTTTAAATTTAATTTGTTATACTAAATACATATTTACGCATATTTCTATGTCAGTATATATATATATGTATATCATTTTAATACAGATTTACATATTTTCTGTAATCTAGAAATAGGTCTATGTATACTTTGTGTCTGTATTTAACATGTTTCAATCTTTTGCTTTATTTAAATATCAATTATTATCATAAATTTTAATGATTACATTATTTCATATAGTATTTTAGATAAATTTATAAACAATTTTAAATATTTAAATATAAACTATGAAAGTAAATACAGGTAGATTAGATCAATAAAAATGGACATATTAGGCCTAGTAATCTTTACTATTTATCAACACGAATAACAATTTCAATATTCTAATCAATTTTTATATAGCCGGAGTTAGTTTTGACCTAGGCAAACCTTTGCTAAAAAAGTACACTTTCTCCATCAAAAGGCTTCTTCTATGAATGGAATGACCTGTTCGAAGCACGAACTCCTGTAGACCAAACCCAGTAACGTTACGATGTTTAATCGTACGGAAAATCCACTCACGTTGCGGTACCGTTACGATTTTTAATCGTACGGGAAATCCACTCACGAAATATTTTCTAATTTTATTATATTACCACCTTATTATTACATAGATCTTTTTCAAAACATACTGCTTTTATAACATTATATAGACCCATTAAACACAAAAACTGCTCTGGCTTCGGGGGCTTTGCCCCCGACCCCACCGGGGCCCTAGGCTGGCTCCCTGGACCCCACGCCCAGAGAACCCCCCACCTTGAAATGACCTGGCTACGGGCCTGCAAGCATGACAGGGCCCGCTCCATTAACGATGGGGGGAATCAATTTTCGCTCCAGTCCAATGCCGTGAACAACATAGTAGGCTGGCCTAGGCCAATAATATATTAAAATTTGTACAGTCATATACGAACACTTGTTTACATTGTACCAAGGTCAAAATTAACGATTTTAGTTTTTTTTTTCATTGAAAATACAAAAAGAAAAACTTAATAAAAAGTCAAAAACTTAATGGATTCTAAATACTGTAACACCTTGAATAGAAGTCCAATTACCATGGGCTTGTTTTAAAGATAGCATAGAATTTTTTTCAAAATAATACACTGTATATGAATTTCAAAATAACAAAATAAATAAAAAACATTTGGTTTATACAGTATTTAGGTGACTTAATCCCAGATCTCCATGATACAGATTGTGACAGTGGCTCTATTTATTGTTTTATAGTAGTAATTATACTTAAAACTTTTAGGCTTCTCTTTTTTGCAAACTTTGGATGGGCTTCTTCTCGAGCCTACATTTGCTAAGTAAGGAGGAAGGGGGGGGGGGGCTTCTTTTCAAAATGAATGCAGTGAATTTGGAGAATTCTGCTATAAAACAATTAAATAAGGCCACAGTAGCATCAATGGGTATCATGGGGTGTATTAACCGGCTTTAAAAAAACCTAAATTACTGGATAGACCAAGCATGTTTTTAAAAAATTTTTTCTTTGTTTCTTTGAAATTCATTTAGGCCATACAGTTCATGTACTGAACTATCGAAAAAAGATCCATGCTAACAAAGAAGCCCATGCTTCTTTTCGAGATGGGCTTCTTTTCGCGATGGGCTTCTTTTCGAGGCTACTTTTGCAAACTAAAGAGAGGGCCTCAATTCAAGATGTTTCTTTTCAAGATTAAGCCAATTGGGCTTCTTTTCAAGGTTTTACAGTATTTCAGAATCCTTAAGTAAAGTTTTTTTGTATTTAATCAAAAGAAAAATGAAATCAATACTTTTGTCCTTGGGACAATGTAAAACTGTATTCATACAGAATGACTATACAATATTTTACTATATTATTTTACTATATTATTGGCCTAGGATTAGACTAGGGAGGCTTCCTACTATAGTTCAGGCTAGCCTAGTCCAAGATTTGTTGCTAATCCCTGCCCACATAGGCCTACACTATCATGATAGCCTGTACCCTGAGCATTAGAGACGCGTTGAGAAGCATTGTTCATGGCATTGGACACAACAAAAATTGATTCCCCCATCATTAATGGAGTGGGCCCCATCATGCTTGGCTGGTTGTTTTGATTTACATTTCACATGTCTAGTTGTCATTGTAAAATGTCAATCAAACCAGTCATTCTTGGGTGGTTTTTGATTTACATATTTTTGGAACAAAATTTAGAGAGTTCGTTAGATCAGGTCAGACCTACCATTTGAAATTTGAATTACATTTTGATGAAATTTGAACTATATCAGGGGCGTAACAGGGGTCTTGGGTCAGGGGAGGGCGAAGGTAATAATTTTCCAGGTTAGTAATTTATCATACCCACCCCATCCCTTCCCACATAGAAAACAATACGACATAGGGCTTATCTTATTTATAATATAGTGTTGTTAATAATATTTATTTGGCAAAAAGCATATAGGAGAAAGACATCATGCATTGCCCGGATAGGGAATGGGCGAAAGCCCGAACAATATTTGCTCCCTATCCTTCATATAAAATTTTGAAACTAAATATAAGCGTTTTCATCATGGTTTTATTTATTACAAACATATTCTTTCACCATCAATACACATTGAGGCCCTTCTTTTAGGTCAAAACGATCTATCTTAAATTTTTCTTTCTTGAGTCTGGGACTATTACGTGTTTAAATAACTTAAAAGAATAACTCTAAAAAATGTGCGCGAAGCAGGCAAAAATTGTTGTGTTTTTAACTCTAATTTTTCGTCGAAATTGATCAAGACTCCCTAAAATGTGCAATTTATAGAGGAAATTGGCCTGAGGTAACTGATTTCATCAGAATTGATCAATTCATCTAAAATTCTTTAGAGGAAATTGGTCTACTTTAACAAGCAATGCATGTGAAATTTGAGACTTTTAGGCACTTTCAGGGGAGGCCCTTCTTCTAGGTTAAAATGATCTATCTTATATTTTTCTTTCTTGAGTTTGGAACTATTATGTTTTGAAATAACTTAAAAGGATAACCCTAAAAAACCGTAAGATATGCACTGTATTTTTTAAATTCTAATTTCGTCAAAATTGAGCAAAACTCCCTAAAATGTGCAAGCTATAGAGGAAATTGGCCTACCGTAACATGAAATGCGAGCGAAGCGCACAAAATCTGAGAATTTTAGGCACTTTCAAAGGATGAAAAGGGCATTTATCAAGGGGTGGGGAAAGATTTTCCAAAGATATTTTCCCCTTTTCCCCCGTGTTTTTAATTATAATTTCGTTGGGATTGATCAAAACTCCCTAAAATGTGCAATTTTTAGAGGAACTTGGCCTACTTCCACAAGAAATGTGCGCGAAGCACAGGAAATTTGAGATTTTTACGCACTTTCAGGGGATGAAAAAGGTTTGGGAAGGATTTTTTCCAAAGATAGATATTTTCCCCCTGTTCCCCTCTGGTTACGCCATCTGGCAGCTTGGATCAAAGGAGTTATGACAGTTTTTGAAAGTGCAGAAGGGGTTGCAGGGTGTTGTGAGTCTGCTCATTATGATATCTTCCTTTTTATCCTTGTCTTTATTTTTCTCTTCTCTTTTTCTTTTCCTTCTTCCTTTCCTTTTCTTTCTTTCTCCATCCCTCTCCCCTCTTTCTTTTCTCTTATTACCCAGCCCGGTACAAACCGTCAGTGGGGGCAGTCTGCCCCCGCCTGTTACGCCACTGACTACATTTTGGAAAATCTGAACTACGTTAAAAAAAATTACAACTTCGTTTTGGGAAACTACACCTACATTTTGAGAAATCAGACCTATGTTTTGATAAAGTAGACACTGAATTTTGCAATTACATTTTTATTTTAACAGACTTCTGCTGCGTATTGCAACCCATAATTAAAATTCATGTCAAGCACACATAAATTCAAATCAAGTGAAACAGATACCTTGTGTAGCAGGTGATTGAATTGTGTTATTTATACAAATATTAAACACCGAGTCAGTAATACTGCTGTTGACAACATGACATCCAATTGTAGTACCTAAACAACAAAAAAATTCAAATTAGCTCAAGCTTAATTCCAATTTTATTGTTCTGGCAAATAGCAGACAAAATTTACATATATAGATAGGCTTCGAAGCCAAGGATCAAAAGCAGTCAAAATGACAAGTGAATGAATTATATTTTACATAAATAAATATTTGTATTTAAATTGATTGGTTTCTGTATGAGTACTGTATACTAATAGAATTTCTGTAACATTTTGAATAATAATTTTCATTGTGGTAACATGCATTTCAACCTGGCAACTACCACTGGGGAACTTCCAGAGGCCTAGCATTTCTCTAACAAGCTAAACCATATAACCCATCATCAAAAAGATGCAACCTGTGCATATGGTAAAAATATTTTATAATTTGCAAACCGGAAATAGCTACACTAAATAAACGTAATGAACTCGTTTCAGCATGCAGGCATGCCAACAAATTTCTTCTAAGAAATTTTGTAACTTAATTTTATTTTAACCCCTTCCTAGCATGCTAATATCTTTCCCATGTAATGTTGCTACTTAACTTATGTTTATCACTTTAATCCCTTTCATTGTTTATCAATCCTTAATCTGACTGAACTAATTGAACCCTTTGTATTACCGCTCTGGCTTTCTGCGCATGCAATTAGCTATATATTATAAATATATATTAACATTTTAACAAACTGGAATAGACACCCAGACAGTGACATCGGTGAATACATAACCTCCTTGGCGGAGGTACATAGAAATCGTTGCTATTATCCAAATAAAACACAAAACAATTAAAAACAATTAAGCCTAATCATGGATCAATAAATAATAGAAGAACAAGGGCGGGCGGACGCACTCTAGTGATAAAGTTTTCCTCCATTAGCGGAAAAAGAAGGGCGCCATGTCAAATATGCAAAGCTGCGTGTGTGTGTCAACAAGATGGCTGTCATAAATTCAGCCAATCAAAATAGGAAGCATCATTTGCATCATCAATGGTGCCCTCACATGGCTGTATGAGGGGGGGGGGGGTGTCAGGAAGGTGGTACGATCCCCTTCCCCCAAAAAATTTTCAAAGGTCCACATTTTTCCAGACATTTTTTTTCTAGGGCCTTCTCACAATGAAAAAGCATTGATGAGGTACCAGCAATGAGTCCAAAGACCTTGCCAATTGCGTGATGTAATCTATCTCAATCCCAGGAACTAAAAAAAAAATTGTATTGACATTGACATCTTGCTGTTATTTCATTGTGAAAAGGTCCAAAAAATTATGATCACAACCCACCCAGAAAAAATCCTGGATACACGCCTGCCTCAGCTTACCATTAACATTTTTAGTACAGCCTAATGACCCGCATGTCGAAACTTGAGCATTGCGCTGATACCATATACGACTTTGATTTCCATTCCTCAGTACAGTACTATATTCTTAAACCAGGTACTCTACTTGGACTCATTTTGAGTAGACTAGTTTAATATGTATCAATATTATTAATAATAATAATTAAAAAAATAATAGTTGGCTGTCTTATTTATGGTTGTAACATGTATAATACTAAGCATGAAGGTGGCGCTTACCTACGGCGGCCATCTTGTTGAGTACACAACTCTGCATTGCTTTGTCGCCTAGTTAGTACTCTAATCATCATAACAGGTCTATGAGTCTAACAAAAACAAAGGGGCAAATCCTTCCTGGCAAAATAGCACACAATGGTTACAGAATATGTAAATCAATTTTGCCATTTTAAGTGCCATTCTTACCTGTAGATGTACTTGGGCCAGCTTCCGTGTCACCTGTGCCTGCGTCACCACTCGGTGTGTTACCAGTCAAGATTAGCTCTCCTTGGTCATCTGTTATAAATAGACACAGCAACAAAAAAAATGTATTTATTTTGGAATTTTTATGGACTGATAAATTTTTAATGTATTATATTTATTTTGGTTGTGTAATGTCTGCTGTGACTTTTTTTTTCTCATTTGTTTTTCTTTATGAAAATTTTATTTATTAATTGTTACTTCAGTTTTTGAAGATTCTCATAGGCCACTGTAATTTTGTTAAAATTGTACAGAAAAATTAATTAATATTAAACTACAAATACATAATCTAATAACAATCCTAATTCTGATCATGTAGAATTATAAATGGAATTTAAATATCAATATACAATAACATTTTAAAATTGACATTAAGTATATAGGCCTAAACATAAAAATTGCTTAGAATAATAAAATTATAAACTCGAAAAAAAAGTATTTTTGAAATTATTACAAATTTTTAACTTCTAATTAATTGTAAATCATTTTTTTAATCCCTGTTTGTCTTCATTTTTGTTGACATCTTATTATGGATAAATGGATTTTATAATTTTTAATCGTAAATTTCGTCATATATTAAACGCATTTATTTCTTTTTATTTATATGTGAATTGTATTACATCCCAATCTTTAGATATTTAAGTTAAATTGGGATGTGCATTGTGCCTTTTCTTGTATTGATTTTATGAAAAATTGTTATTCTTCAATTTTGCTTACAAAAGTGTCAATAAAGAACCTTTGAATTTGAGATAGTATATATATAATTTTTTTAATTGCCACTTTTAAACTAACTGTGGATGCTAAACATTTTTAATACATTCATGTAGTTCACTTGTAGTTGGCCTATACATTTCTAGGATTTGTATTTAATTGTGAGGGGACTGTGTATAGGTTTGCATAAACATGAATCGATGATAACCAAAAAAATCAATAAAGTTGAGATAAATATGACAAATACTAACGAAGACATTATGACACTTTATCGACAAGATTCAAATTAACAATTAATTACCTGTAGATCTTCTTGCAGATTCTTTTATAGAATCCTTGTTGTTACCTTTGACAGTCCTCCTCAGTCCTAGAGGGTCATTATTTGATTCAATAATGAGATATGTTGTTACATTTCTCATAAACTCATCCATGTTTTCTTCACATATCATTCCTCTATGCTCCAAGTCTACAAATAATTCCCATTTGTCAGCCTTTTGTTCACAGCCATAGAGTTTTGAGATCTTCTTCACATTATTGTCAGAGAGACTCTCTACAACCTTCATCAGACTTTGCCTGTTAGCTGTAAATCTTGATGGGATGACTGTCCTGGTATCAACAGATGTCTTCACTGTCAACTTAATTATTTCTGGTTCCAAACCAAATGGCTTAGTGACATTGATAATATCGTACAGTAGTGTTGGATCTGTTGGACTCAGATGCTCAGAGGCACGTAATAATTCAAACAATTCAATCACGTTGGTGGCAGCATATAGCTTATCAGCTTCAGTTACAAGATCTCTACACAAAACCTTCAGCATAGCGATGTATCCATGGCAATCATACCATCCTGACATGGATGATAATATTTCTCTGAATTCATCATCAGAGATTCCTAAAAATAAATAAATTACACAATTTTTCTTTCAGTGATTAGATCTCTGATAAGACAGGATTCATTTTGCCTTTTCCAGGCAATTGTAAATTCAGTTGATAACAATACTGTGCCATAAATACAAACTCACCATTTGTCATCAAAGTGACAGAAATACAAAGTTGTTAATATATGAATGGTATTATAGCTCTTTAAAAATACTGTGGCTAGAGATCTGGTCCTGAATCCGTTGTCATTCGAGTTTGAAGATCCGGCATCAATAATGAAGCAAAGCGCATATTTTGAGCAATATAAACATGTACATCAATGCAACTAAACTCTCGCACTTAAAGGACTTGTGAAATATAGCTGGAATAAGACGTTTTAGGATCATCATTACCTAATAAAAAGATGTGCCAAATTTGGAATCTGAAAAATGTTGGCTTCATTAGGTAATTTAAGGATTTGTATGTCCTTACTGCAAACCTGCCAGAAATTAATGAGGTAAACAAATCTGCGTTGTGACGTCATTTGTGCCTGAATTCAGGTTAAGTAATCTGATCCACATCAGTCCACGCTGGGAAACATATGCGCAAGCAGATTAGTACAGCTACGGTATGTGGATGAATTGTTATGGTGACTAACACTTAAATAATTTAGCATCAATAATATTGTACTAAATACAATAATGACAGTACTACACAAGATGTAGAAGCAAATAAATTCACATCACGATCATCAAATAGGGCCTAGGCTAGACTGTGCTAGACTAGAGAGTGAGGAAGAGAGGACATACCTACCTTAAAGAGAAAGGCCTAAGCCTAGCCTGCTTAGAAATGCAATTTTATTCATAGCTTGCACTTTTCTTTTGTCATTCGTTTTCAATAAAGTATATATTAAAATAAACATTCTTGTTTTTCCTCTTTCTACGTATTTTGTACTGATGTTCCGATGGAAGAAATTCCACATGTCTGACGCTTGCATTACTTATTCAAGTGCTTGTGTTTTGTGTGTGTAGAAAGTTACTCTCAATTGAGGGCAGTATTGATGGGAGGCAATGGGCGTTTTATGATAATTACACTTATTAATTTAATTATAAACTTGTTTTAGTAAGTAATTACAGTATATTGCAATTTAAAAAAATGAATTTATATGATTTTTGTACGTAGCATTTAGAATTCTATAATAAAATACACTAAATCACTTCAAATGCGTTTCATAGATTTTTTCTGTGCTGTGCACTTGCTGTGATTGTGAAAAATGAGGTGCAATAGAAAGACTACAAATTGAAGAACATTATAAAACAAAAACAACTTTAAGCTTTCGTTTAGGTAGTGAACTTTTTTTATATTTAATGTTCAAAATTTATATATAATTATATCATTAATGCAAAGAGGTTTAGAGACAGAAGATTCTTTTATTGCCACTTGTGAAAAAATTAACAAACAGGGAAACATTAACAAACATTGGCCAGGATAGCCCAAGAAACCTAATAGCAGGTTTATTTCCATTGGGGTCCTGCATTAACATTACTGTATTAGATTGTACCGTCATGTTGCATACAGGCGATTCATATGTTGGATCTGGCACAAGCTTGGCCAAAACAACCGAAGAGTAATACCAGCATGTGCAGTTCTTACAATATGGAAGCCATTTCCTTCCGAAACTTGCACTTGAATTCCTAATTTTAACATTACTGCATAACCTACATTAAACTTCTGTTTCATTTGAATCTTGACTTTCTTTCCATAACCAGTGTAGCCTTATCAGTCCAAATAAAGTAATTTGTTATTTGTTCAGGAATGACGTCATGATTTTCTTTTGCATTGTCAAGTGCATCCTTAAGCATTTTGATCTCATACCGACTCTCAAAGGAAGAGCATCAAATAATTCCTCAACATAACCTACAAAACAGAAAAAAAGTACACATCATTTTTGAAAAAAAATATATGTGGATCCCGTATCAATTATTTGAATTGTTTCCTTTATGATCAAATAAATATTTAGTTTTAATACAGTATTTACAGTTCATATGAGAATGCTGAGAGTATTCATTAATTTTTTAAAGTTAAGTAGTAGTTGGATAACCCCTAAGAAGAGGAACCAAATCAACACACACACACACCCACACACACAATTTAAATTGCTGGCTATATCATCTTCCTCAAAATAAAGACATTTCTGCATCCCAAAATAAACATCTATTCTAATGGTCTTATTGGTTCTTTGTTATGGTAAGCAACAAAACATACCTAATGTGGACTCTTCATTTACAGCTTTTAATACAGATTGTTGTTTTTTTCTTACAATGTTAGGAAACAAACTGCCAATTTTGCTTCTCCTTCTCTGGTTAATATGCCTGGTGTTGTTCCTTTTGGTTGACCATTATCTTCTATAACAATGTCAGTAACAACTCCCCTAACATCTTTCTCTTCATTTGCATCTGCATTTGGTAAGGTCTTCTAGTACAGTACCTAGCAAGTAAAAGAAATAATAAAAATCTAAATGCCAGACCAGCACAAACTATAGTTTAATTTAGGCTAGCCTAAGACAGACTTTATCAAGTTAGTAAAAAGCATTTCTGTAACAACACGTTATATCGTCATTGCGGACTTATAAAATCTGCATACGCCTTAAAACTAAAAGAAAATGCATACATTTAGATTCTGTACTGAGCCAAAAAAATCCGCAATGAAAATATAACGTGTTAAACCCAGTCTTCAAATATCCGTAGTAAGTTAAATGCAAAATTTCCGAAGCACCTAATAATTTGTCTTGAGTGCAAGCAATTATGGGTACAGGAAAATAATAATTGTGGATTCTAAATAACAGGCCATTTTTTTTCTTAGTTTTTGCAATAATTTTTTCAGTCTGACAAAATGAGTTGTCAACGAACAAGTTGAAATGAGACAATGTAACCAAAGTTTTTGATGGAAAATTAAATTGTTCTGGAATTTAGACCTATTATTTATGTGTATTATAAACATAAATAATAGAGGCCTATGATACATTTCTGCAGTAGGCCCTAGTACTAGTAGTATTTTTTCTATTTACATGCATCCGTAACAATTAGGAAAAATTTCTATATAACTACTGAAATTCAGTATTATTTGAGAAGTCTGCTAAGTACAGCTATCTCGATAAAGATATAAAGAATGTTAGGGTTGGCAACAGGACTAGTTATATAGTATTACAGTATTAGCTTTGCAACACCCCTAGCCTATCTGGCCCACAGCAGCAGCAGTAGTAGTAGGTAGTAGGGGATATGACCGGTTGAGCCGCCGACAAGTTGAGCCGCCGGTAATTTCTATGGAACGCCAAGCGCGTCTCTCAGTGAATGTAGTGCGTCTCTCAGTGAATGTAGTCGGCTTGCCGATGTCATCAGTGAATGAACCCCCCCGGATACCAGCTACATATTCATCCCACAGTCTTGTCAGTCGTTGATTTGCTCGTATTGCCGTTCGTGATTTTGATTATTTTATGTACTACATTTTTATAAAAATAAATGAAGTTGTATAATTGCAAAATCGTATTAAAAATGTAATTTTATGTACTACATTTTTATAAAAATAAAATGAAGTTGTATAATTGCAAAATCGTATTAAAAATGTGTTTATTTACGTTTGGTTTGCGGCATATTCCAACTATTAAACTTATTCGTTATTTGTACTATTTTGTTAAATTATCTAATTACATTATTTATTATATATAAGTTTAACAAATAGTACAAAAATAAAAATATATAAATTATAAAACCATAGTAAATACTGTATAATAACATAGGCCTAACACATTTAAATTTATTGTTTATAGTTGCAAAATCGTATTAAAAATGTAATAACTTGATTATTTTTTACGTTTGGTTTGCGGCGTATTTCAATTAACAATTAAATTGAAATAATTGAGTAAATAAACTGAAATACATCCCAAACAACAGTACCAAGAACGAATAAATTAATTGAAATACGCCGCAATTAACACACTGAGAGACGCGCTTGGCGTTCCATAGAAATGACCGGCGGCTCAACTTGTCGGCAGCTCAACCGGTCATAATCCGGTAGTAGGCCTAGGTAGGAACACTACCATGCCCCTTGGCATTATCTATATTAAATTGTACTGCCTCTTCTTAAAATGAACAAGGTCTAGCCTAGGTCAAGCCCTACCTAGCCTAAATATGCTAGGCTAGTACATTGCAGCATGGAGGAAATAAACTTTATATATTTCCTCCACGATTGATGAATTGATAGGCCTAAAAATCGAAGGCATACACTATCATTATCATAATTAAGTAGCCTAGGCCTAGCTAGTACAGCACTATCCTAGGCTAGGCCAGTTCTCAACTTACCTCCTTTTTCCTTCCTTTTGATAAGCCCCACGCATCTTGGGTGGAAGTGTTTGGTTGTTGAATTAAAATACTATAGGCACTGCATTCGTTTTTAGCTTCCTTAAATATTTTTCCTTGTATTCTAAAACACGATAAATAATCTAGGTCTCTCGGCGCCTGGCAGTCGACATCGTGAATGAATGAAGTGCTGTGTTGAGTGGGCTCCCAAGCCGCCTAGTCTAGGCCTACGATTTCTTCACCAATTTTTACTTCGGAAAACTTAAATGTTGTGGTCTTTAGATTATGCTTTCATTCAAAGGCAATGTAATATGGCAGGTCTGTAGGAGTTTCAGCAATACTCTTTGTTTTGGTAATCGTCTTTTCTCACAGAGAGACGAACAACGAACTTCAGCCGTGTTTTGTGTGTGCCGCGTCCAGTGTCAATATGCTTGAATTTGTTTACGTTTTGGTTCGGCACAAGTGACGTCACACCTAATTAGCATATTGTTTACTATGAATATCTGAACCAACAGAGCGATGCTATAATATAGTCTCTTTTAATTGCCCTAAAATAGCATAAAAAGCGCGATTTTTTTAAATAAAGAGATTCAACGTATTACTAACAATTTAATTTATCTATATATATTGTTCTGGCTATATTTCACAAGTCCTTTAAAGTTGTTTATCACGGTCTAGTTCACGGTGGTATTCATCATGTCAGGAACTGAGAAATTTTATTACTCTATTGCACATACAGGCCTCACTCAATAAGGAATCAAATCTGTCTAAATGGCCCAATAATGGTAATATTTGTTATGATTGACACTACCATTCAATTGGAGCTAGCAACAGAAGATTTCACAAAATTTTACCCAAAAGGTTTACTCCAGAAAGTTAAAAAATCATTAACTAAACTGTCAGTTCACCGTCAGAGGTTGAATCTGGCACTCTGGACCCAGCCACAGATAGCTGCCTCTACCCTCATTTGAGTTGCTCAACATAATTGGTAAGAGAAAAAAATTGTATACAGAAAAGTATTGAGTACAGAGCACAAACCTTGATCTAGCTTCTTTCTCTTTGATGTAGACTCTAATTCACTACCTGTTAAAAAACAGAAATTGGAAATTAGAACATTAACATCAACTACAGTAAACTTCTCATTTTTTCGTCATTGCGAAATGAAAATTGAATGGTTATTGAAAATTGATTTCGTAAAGCAAGCTTAATTAGAACTCAAATAAACTTACTTCAAATTCAATATTAAGTATGAACAACTAAGGAATTCATTGAATCAATAGACCCTCATAAGCAAAACAAACTGAACGTTAAATAGGAATATTCTAGACTTATTTTAAAGACCCATGGAACAAATTCAGATGTAGGTCTAAGGCCAGGCAGGAGGCCACCGAGGCCTCCTCCTCCTCCTACTAGGCCATAGCCTAGCCTAGTTATGAAATTATCGCACAAGTTTTATCTGTCTGCATGCACCGACCAAAAAGGTCAGTGACTGTATTATTCTCTTTTGAATGCCGAAATGTTTATTTCTTTGACGAATGTCTATCAAAATAGCATTACAAACAATTTCAATCTAACACAATACAAATTACAACATTTATTCATCTTAACCTTACTGTACTGCTGATGTGCAGCTTACTGCAGGAGCACAAATCAGCATACGCAGTTAAATGTAAATACGCACACAGTACACTGATTATATCGCTACAGCAACCGATGACTGGTTATCAAAAACTAAAATTAAAAGAGGGCATAGTTGGGTGCGCCAGTTTGCCAACTTTGGGATATCGATGAGAGCCAGTGCTTTATCATAGCTTGTATCAGGGACAATGATTCGAAGCGCTCTGCGCTGAATCTGTTCGAGCTAATTAGGTGGACAATTAGTAAGCCCTGTACCCCACACTGGAGCAGCATATTCTAGTACTGGTGGAATAATACTAATATAAAAATAAGGGTACTTTGATTGAGGCCACACTGTTGCAACTGTTTAAGAAAGCATAGTCTTGAGTTAGCTTCCATGATGTTATAATAATCAACATAGGCTTGCTATGATAAATTTTTATTATATCAAAATTCTCAATGGGATTGTTGTCAATAAAGATAGCATCAAACTTGGTTGGATTCTTTTTGCAACTGAAAACAATCTCCACAGTTTGTTTATGCATTAGGAGTCACATGATTGTTGCTGGCCAAGAGTAGGCTATCGTAGCCAGACTGTGTTTTACAGCCAGAGACTGTATTTTACAGATATTTTACATCTTTTCACAAACCTTGATCTAGCGTTCTTTTTGATATAGACTCACTACCTGTCAAAAAAAGAGATTGGAAATTAGAACATTAACATCACCTACAGTAAAGCACAGCGCAAATACATAAACCCTAGTCTAAGATTAGCAAAAAATTCATATTAATGATATTGGTTTAGGCCTACTGTTTAGGAAACTCCAAAAGAACTAAATTTCCAGTCACTTTATTTATTACAATAGATTACAATAATATTAATTTAAATGCAATAAAATTAAACTTATACTACAGTAAGATCACTTTATCTAAAAATGTATCAAAATAGTTATTTCCTTTATTGGAAAGTACAAAATGCTTTAGGATAGAGGTGCAAAGTTTATCAGCATTGTTTATCATTGATCGAAGATGTCTACCGCAGCGTGAAAAAGGCCTATTTAGATAGGTGTATGTAATGGTGTACCCAAAAGGGTTGCTGAGTAGTATTACATTCTATTTGATATTAAAAATAAATGCACAAAAACAAACACTAGTAAAAGAGATGTACAAATAAAACACAAGGATTTTGTTTAGATAATATAAATTTCTTGACAAATTATTGCTCATTTAAAGTATTTAGTTTGAATTTAATTCCGTTAACTTACTACAATTTCTTTTCACGTTTGAAGAAAATGTTGGTCACATGATGGTATCGGTACAAATATGTTAAATCTATTTTATCTACATACTGAATACCCAGGTTTGACAAGGAATGCTCCCCAGGGAGGAAGGATGCATATATAGGTTTATAATTGTCAACAATTTTTTTTTTACAATTTGCTGATGTGTAGTTAACACGTACTGCAGGAGCACAAATCAGCATATGCACAGCTAATACAGTGCTTTTTTATCAAGAGTATCAACAGACCTCGTCTTAGCTGCTCCTGATGCTCTGGGTCCAATGAAATCACATGTTCAGGATCCTTCTGATTACCTTTTATTTAAAAAATAAGAACATCAGAGCAATTATTTCTAAATCAATTGAAAAAAATATTAATGTTTTTTATGTCCATTCACCTGGTATAACCCTTGTTACGTAAGATTGACTATTCATGTTGGAATCGAATACCCTTGCTCTAATTTAATATTGTAATTATCACTGCCACTAACACCATGCATGTTGGAATCGGGTACCATTGCCATAGTTATCCACAATGCTTCCAACAACAACTAGAGGGGATGACTGTAGTCATCACTGCCATTAAAAGCATACATGTGCAACAAATCCTATTGACTACTGTAGTTATAATTGTCCAGACAAAGATGACCACACATGCACTTTTATAATACCAGGTTAATGATAATGTTTAGAGTAAAAACCATAAATTTAGTATATTGATATAGTATACTGCATATAAATATACTCTTATAAAAATTTTCATATATTTCTTTAGAATTATATAATTATATTACAATAAATATTCTAGACAATCATGTATTACCTTTACCACACAATTTATCAGAGTTTGAAGATGCATTTGAAACTGTACATGAAATATAAAGTAAATTAGGCCTACTTCCAAAACATTGAAAATACCTGTATTGGAATTATTAATTTGTGTAGTCTAATCAATATTATCTTAAAAAAATAAAAAATTAAATACCTTTACACAGAGCATCTACAGCTTTTTTGAGTTCAAGTTTTTTTAACTTTGTAATAAATTTCTCCATATTTTCTTCACAAATTACACTTCTCTTTTCTAGATCCATAATTAAACACCAGCTGTCTGCATACTTCTTCAATGCATCATTATACAATTGATCAATCTTGGGCACATCATCTTCTGTCAGTAATGATCCCAACTTCATTAGTTTGAGTCTGTGTGGTGTGAAGCTGGATATTTCAATATCTTTAATATTTGCAGGAATTGGACATGATGGCAATTGTTCTTTAATTTTCTTTACTAAGCGAAATTGTTTGCTCACTTTTATGGTGTCATAGATTAGAGTGAGATTTGTTGAATTCATTTCATCATGATCAGTTAAACAATTCAACAAATTAATTGTTGTTGTAGAAGCATTATGTAACACAGCAGGAGAAAGGAGATCTGTGTACAAAACTTTCAGGTTATTGATGTATCCACGCTGGTCAAACCATTCTGAGACAACTGATTTAAGTTCCATAAAATCTTCATCAGAAATGGCTGTAAAAAAATAAAATAATTAATTTTATAATTTGTTAACGTTAAATTTTTATGAAATCGCACATATCAAAAAAAGATTAATGCGTCTTTTGATCTTTCCTGCTAATGTATCACTTTGGACTGGTGGAACAGGTCGGCTCACATTTCCAGTCATTCTTGGAGGGGAATGAAGTAGGGTAAGTGGGTATGATCGAACATCACTCAAAGTATCTTGGGAGAGGTACAAGAGTGAAAACTATGAAAATCTAGGGGTTTACTAATTATTTTTCTCCCTGAAAAATTGCTTTTCTTCCCCAGCTCCTCCCACAATCACCCAAACTTTGCCACTCCTACATTGATTTTTTGTCAAAGAACTATTCTTCTAAATGCCAAAAGGAATGGCTCTTTTCTGGGTCTTGTTTCTACTGCTGTACTATAGAACTGTTCTTAAGAATGGTTCTTTTCCTTCAGTAAAAACACATTCACCAAAGTACAGCACATCAAAGTTGAATGTAGATGAAATATCTGTGAATATGCGCTTGTCGCATTACTTTGTTGTGGTCGCTTTGGTGCGAATTGTCTTTAACAATAGTAAATTATATATTTAGTTCACAACACAAACCTTGGTCAACCTTTTGTCTTTTTGATGTTGATGCATCTCCACTACCTATAAAGAAAAGGGAAAATGGAATTTGAACATAAACATAACTACTTAGAAATACCTTTATGCAAATAATCTTCATCATCATGAATAAATGTTTTTTTTTTTTAAATATAAAATGGTGTTTTCATTTATGATTTCAGAATGTTAAATTCATTCACATAAAAATACAAAGGCAAATTTATCATTATTTTTTTTGTACAAAAATATACAGTATTACATTGTTTTATAAAGATAATTTCAAAATTGTTAAAACAAAGAAACATTATTGTCCGGATTTAAAGTCAGAATCCGGAGGCAAAACAAAATTTGATATGTTGTAGAACTGATTTTTCTAAGTCAGAAGTTGAATGTAGCATCAAAAACTGTGACTGCTTGAAACTGAGATGAAATATCTGTCAATCTGTGCTTGTCGCATCACTTTGTTGTGGTTGCTTTGGTGCGAGTTGTCTTTAACAATAGTAAATTATTATTTAGTTCACAATACAAACCTTGGTCAACCATTTGTCTTTTTGATGTTGATGCATCTCCACTCCCTATAAAGAAAAGGGAAAATGGAATTTGAACATAAACATAACTACTTAGAGCAAAGCACAAAAGAGAAAACTTCTACAGACTATAAATAAGTTGAGTTTAACATGACATCAATTTTTAGCTTTTATAATTTTGAATTTTACTTTTCTTTCTACAGTTTATGTATTTCAATTTTATTTTTAATATTTTCATTTCATTTGTATATTCTTGTAAATGGCCTTGTAAAAAAACACCATTATGGTGATACAAGTTCTTTCAGTTTAAAAATAAAGTTCTAATTATTATTGTTACTACTTAATACCTTCATGCAAATAATCTTCGTCATCATGAATAAATGGTTATTTTTTAAAATATAAAATGGTGTTTTCATTTATGATTTCAGAATGTTAAATTCATTCACATGAAAATACAAAACTTTGCCTTTTAGCTTTCTTTGTAACTAGAGCAAATTTATCATCATGTTTTTTTACAAAAATATACAGTATTACATTGTTTTATCAAGATAATTTCAAAATTGTTAAAACAAAGAATCATTATTGTCTGGATTTAAAGAAGCATATTCCAGTTTATATGAAATCAATTTAAATGCAAAATAATTAAATTTATACAAATATCAATTAATCTAAAAATATATCAAAAAAATTAGGTCTATTTTCTTTATTAGTACAAAATGCTTTATAATGGAAGTGCATAATGAGAAATATAAACCAAATGCTTTGTTTTTTTTGTAGCCCCAAGAATACAATGGGTAAATGTAGTAGTGGTAAAAACCAGCTGGGATTGCTGAGTAGTAATAAATTCTAGTTGATATGAAAGATAAATGGACAAAAACAATACCCTATGATGAATCTATTTTATCTACATGCTGAATACCCAGGTCTGACAAGGAATGCTCCCCAGGGAGGAAGGAGGTTACACATTGTGTTGAATTCTACACTTTTCCAATGAGTAATAGTGGAAGGTACTACAGGAATATAATAGCCATATATTACTGTATAAGTTTATAATTGTCAACAATTTTTGTTTATATTTTACCTGATTCATTCATCTTTCTTGGTGTTTAGAACTTCTCAAAGGAAATGAATAACTTCAATCAAACTGATGGGCTTCACAAACTTTCTAAAATTGACAATATAAAGAATGATACTAGTGAATTTATCACCACCATCAAGTACCTAGGTATTGCTGCCATTATATAAAATGATTGCATGCAGTCCTAAAATATGCTCAATTAATATTTATATTAATCAGAAGCACTACTGTGCCAATATAAAGTTTTTTAAGTACACCAAAGATTAAACATCCAAGGGCACATTCAATCTTGTACAAATATTGCTTTCCGTAGCATTTTTTCAAGATGGTGTAATCACACAGAACTAACTTAGTGATACCTCAAGAAAACAATTCCAAAACTATGGTTGATGGTTATATCACAGTAAGGGCAAAAATGATTCATTGAATAAACACTGAATAAATTTTACACAACCTTGGCAATACCTTACAGACACGTGTGAATGCTTTATATTTCAGTCGGAATAACTCGGGAGATGGCTTGGTTACAATTACAATTTGTTATTTTTTGTTAAATTTAACTTCACGTGTGAATCGGGTATTAGTTTGACTTTGTCATGAATAGAGCAAGGAGAATAGTTGTGGTCTGATGTATTGTTTTACATAAACAAATTAAACATGTCAACAAAGTGTCAGGAGCAGATCTGGGTTAACATTTAGGTGAGAGGGATGTCAAATATTTTCACAAAAACCCCAAAAAGAAAGGAAAAATGTTGATTTCTAGATAGCGGGAAATGAGCTTTCACCTTTCCAAAGCAAAATTCTCGTAGATTGACCAGACACGGTAGTATTAGCTAATAGACAATCAGTAATCAGTTACTCGGATCACATGACCTCTCTAGTGGGTATAAAATATACACAGACTGTGCCAGTGATGCGTTGTAAGGCACATTGTTGGTGCCAAATTATTTTGGTTGGAACGCCAGTAAACTATACCAAATTGATTGGAAATTGAACTTGAGAATATTGAGATGGTTTGCTAATATTCCTGTACTGGCCCCAAATATAGAACTTTTTTTGAAAAATGTTAGTGTAGGCCAATGCATTACTACTGCCTGTTTATGTATGTTGGAGTCTTTGATCCACAAACTGCAAGTGGGACATAGATTTATAAGCTAGCTCACAAAGGATCACATAAATTCCAAAGCCTAAAAAGCTAGAGAACACTAGAATAAGTATATTTTGAGTAATCATAATGCCTTTCCTTACCATGTATTTGTCATGTTAACAGTAGGTGGTTGTTTTCACAACCATAATATTACATTCTCTTATACTTTTACACCGATTATACTGCAAGTTAGACCCACTATACATCACATGACCACGCTTCCCAGTCACCGATTTTGTCTATTATGCAACCTTTCAAGCAAATAGAGTGAAGTATGTATTGGAGACTTGCATGCAATATGCATTTTATATTTTTAAGAATGGCCTGGAGTATGACACTCTTCCACACAACTGCTGTATGTTTTTTTTTCTCAAATGCTGTCAAACACGATAATGGTATATTACAGAGCAGCCAATCTAACGGGTGCGGACAAACTCAACTTTACACTTGATAGACAAAATCATGTTATAAATATGACTTACCTAAATGGTTTGTTTGAAAGACTCCCCCCCCCCCCCCCACTCCCTAAACTCTGCCTCAATAGCCCACCTCCAGATGTCTTTCTAAATTGTAGCATCACATCTTAATTGTTCATCCTGTAGTTTAATATATGGCTGGTATGATTTCAAAGGAAGTCAAGCTCTGTAAAGAAATTTTTTAAAACCAGTCAATGGGATTGCACATTCTGCATTAAGCCACCGTCAACTCATATATTCAAACAAAAATTACTCAAAACAATAACATGATTGTGTTGCCCAATTTCAACTGACCTAACTTCTCAAGAACTGACTGACCATGGTTCCAAAAAATGTCACTCTGCTTTGGGCAACTATTAAAATGAGTCAAGTTGAATGGTTTAGTGGTCAAGATGCGATCACCTTCTAATCCCAAGCTCCTGGTTTCTATATAGTCATGATTTTTTCTCACGGCTAAAAACAGCTAAGAATTATTCATCCTGTAACAAGTCACTGTCACGGTCAAATCATGATGAAAATGGAAGTCAGAACTTCTACAGCTCTACAGAAATTTTATCACAGGCCAAGACCTATAAATAAATAGGTCTAAAGTCCAGAGCAAATGCCTTTTCCATCAGGGATCTTAGATTACATTGTCCCTAGGAAACTTAAACTTGTCGGATTACTGATAAATATGTGAAAACTAAGAAAAAGTGGCCAGTATATCTATAATTCCAAATTTGATCGGGCTCTGACAATTGGGACTTGATTTGAAAGCGAGTTCAATTGTCCTGAAAAGTTACCCATAAATCTTCATCCTGTCCAGTTTGTAATTCCACAGATGCACCTGCAATTTTGAGCAATTTATATTTTGCACTCAAGGCAAATTTCTAGGTGCTACAGAAATTTTCAATTTACTACAGAAATCTGAAGACACAGGAATGCATTTTAAAAACTTGCGAAATCTGGAAAGTGATATTGGGCATGTCTTCAAAATGAGAAAGGGAGATGCACAGGGTTGTAAACAACGTACAGGCTGTGTAATTATCATTATTATTACTGTACTATGGTACAGTTGGACTGTGATTATTAATTCTGATTTAACAGTTTCTGTCTTATTGATCTCGACTTGAGACTGGACTTAGGCAAATGACTAAGCAAATGGTTGGTACTGGTAGGCAAAACACAAAATGACATTTCAAAGTTTTTTTTAATGACCATCACATCAAAACATATAAGGCAAAAAGCAGTCACAGTGGTCTGACCATGTGTTAATTCTGTAGCTTTGTATGGGGAACATACCAAGTGCAACATCCAAAACGTGGAGGCTGTTCAAGGACGTGCTGCTCGCTTTATTACCAACAAGAAGTGAATTCCTATGTTACTGCTATGCTTAAAAAAATTAGCGCCCCTAAACTGATCATCGAGCACACCCATTACGCCTTTGAGACCCCTATCAGCACTCCTCAAATTCAAGACTTCTCGATTCGTGAAAAAGGCGTACTATTATTACCCAATCAAGAATCAAAAGGAGGGAGTCTCCGAGATTAATTGACTCTTCTTAGCCCCTCTCTATGTATTATATCACTAAGGTAAGCATCACCAAAAAGGTATACAATAGCATGCTTCATACCTAGCTAGACCTAGTCTAGGTCTCCCTAGCTTTAGACTTAGTTATACACGTTCGTAGTAGTAGACCTAGCCTAGGTGTAGAAGTAGGCCTAGGCCAAGGCCTAGCTAGGCCTGCCCTATTCGCCCAGCCTACCGAGGCTATTACTTTTATATAGTTAGCCTAGGCCCTTGCCTTGGCTAGGCTGGGTCACAGTATTATTCAGTTCATAAGTGCGTAAGCCTAGGTCTATTACTTGACAGAAGAAGAATAGCCTTTTAACAATACCCTGCAAAAGTAAACAAAATTAAGCCTAACCTAAGTTAGGATACAATTTTTAACTCTCTCTCCTAGTTTTAGGCCGACCATCCTTGCTTGTAGTATTGTACCCCAACCAGGAAGTATTTTGATGATATACTTTCCACGAATGAGAAAGCGCCCTCTTTAAAGCCGCTTCTTAAACTTTTTTTTTTAAGTGGCGACCAAAGATCTTTTATTAGATCAAAGACCTTGCCACTTTCAGAATCCCTATTCTTAGGCGACCCAAGGCATTATATTGTCATCAGGGGCGTAGGTATGACTAGTACAAAGCACTAGGGCTCGGTGCTATTGGGGGCCCTCTTCAAAGGCCTACAGATCAAGAAACATAACTTAGAAATTCTGTTAGTTTTCTTATCTTTTTCTTTTTTATTATTTGTTTTCAATTGAAGTTTGAAGCAGTCTCGCGACCCTCAGAAATTATTAAAACCATTATTATAAATAAATATCATCATCATCACTCCAAAATCATTACTATCATCATCATTGTTATCATCATCTTTTATTGTTACATGTATAATTTGTTTGATATTTTGATATATTTATAGAATCTTTAATAGTATAGCTAGACAAATTTCATTTAACTGTACAGTATTTCAAAGTTCTATTGAAACTTTTTAATTGAGATGTTAAGTTACCATAATTATCAATACATTTAATACTATATTGCCTTTTGCAATTGTGTGGTGACTGATTGCGGTACTAAGGGACTACATCATCATCATCTTTCCTATTAACAATTATTAACATTTTAACACAGACCAAAACAAAAAAAACAATAGCTCTGAAAAGAGACAAAGACATTTTGAGATTCAACGTTTCGATCTATTTGATCATTTTCAAGAATACTGAACACGGACCACGCTTAACATTTTAACAGGCACTCAATTTCTAGGTGATGAACTGTGTAATTATACAACATTTGCGCAATTTTGTAAAATATTTTACTGTTGTATTAAGTGTCTCGTTTTATAAAGTTGTATGTATTTTCAATTAGCAAACAGCACTAATGTATGCAAGGTGTTCTATACACCTTGCATATGATTATCTAGAACGATCGTTACGATACCTTAATTGGTAACAGTTTGTTTTCACTAATTAATATTCATTCATTTCTTTGTATAAATACTCTTAGTTAAGAATGACAAGATTTTTCTTTCCGTTTATTTCGCTTTTCAGTTTGTACTGATAATGGGAGAAAGAGAACACCTGAACCATGTTTACAATTAAATCCTTAGTTCTTTTCTTAAAATGTGTTGTATTTTTCATCAATTTGCGTCCGTTTGGTTTCATCATTAAGGATTTTAGTTCGGAAGACCTGCCAATTTGTTTGCTTAGGAAGTATGAGAAGATATCCCTACGCTTCATTAAAGCTCAATTGGATTATCATTTTTTACACAAAAGTTGTATGTATGTTACTTTCTACGAATGATCGCAATTAGTATGGATTGTTATTACTAGAAGTGGGGGTAGGGGGTGTTGACACGATATGATCATCTAGTGGGGGAACACTAATCCTGTTATTCATTTCGTAGCTCTTCGTCCTGAGAGTATTTGTTGCTGCCTAGAATTATCATTTCTTCATAAATAGGCCTATACTTGTGTATTCATACAAGTAACATTTAATGCACGACATCAAGAAAAGTAGAACTAAACAGTACGATTAGATGATTAAGTGTACCTTACTGTTTTATTTTTGAATTTACGTTTGCCATAAATATTAAATAGAAAATTTTTGTAAATAGCATCCCATATTTGTGTGTTTGGTAATATTGTTTGTGCACGGTTCTCTCATATAATATGCAGTCTTTTATAAACGCCAACATAATGTCTGGCTGCCGAATGTCTGAAATCAGACGGCTACCAGTACCAGATATACAGTATACAATTTGGAATCACTGAAAATGTAACCGTAACTTGCCTCATTGTTTAACCACGGCTGATCGGCGGTAAATGTGTGTTTTAAAGTCGTATGCCCGGTCCATTTACTCATATGCTCATGGGTTGGCATTCTCTGAAGTCTGAACTTGTTTAATGGAGCTGATGTGTCCAGCCTGATATGGAAAAACCGGGCACCACTGGTGGCGCCTTTCCTTGACAAGGGGTCCAAGCTCCCTGAGGAGGGCTGATGTCCCCGACGCCGACGCGAAAAATTTGTGGGCGTTGTAGGGTGTCGCCAAAATCCTGCCGAAACCGGTCCAGGTGGCGAAGCCCCCGAAAATGTGAAAATTTAGGGGGTTCAAAGGCTTATTTAATCGATTTCAGAGTCAATTAATAGGGGCCTGTGTAAAAAATACATATATATTTTTTTCTCCTCGACAACTTGTGGTTTTTCTGTCCTACTAGGGGCTCCCGCTAACATCACCCCTGTGTAATAAATAAATAGTTATGAATAT